AAATGGAAAGTTAAAAACTGGGCGTTTGACAGTTTTGTTTCTGTGGTACTCTTGTCAGATCAGCGGAAGAAGCTCATGGTGGTAGTGTACAGAAACGTCTCTGAAGTGGGGGCTGGCTAAGGGGAGGCTGAGCAGCCTGCATTGAATTACAGCCTTGTGCTGGGCAGTGTCCAGCCTCAGACTAGAGCTGAGGGAGGGCAACCTTCTACAGAAGTAACACTGAATTCTAATCCATTCAGTGCTGTTAGACCTGTATTCAGATTCTGAAGTTTCCTAAGGAACACAACAATGTCTAAGTTACAAGGTGTTTCCTGGTTGAAAAAAAAGAAAAAGGTAATGGACAGTTGTCCCCAGGGTGCTGAGCTGAGATTCCTAAGTGACAGGTGCTTCCTGAAGGATAAGATTATGCCTGAGCCATTGGGGAGACTGGCTGATCTGGTGTGGGCTCCCACAGACTTTCTAGAACTGACAGCTTTGGGGGCTACCATCCTAAACCCTCTGAACCAGACCTCAGGCTAAGTCTGTATTTGATATCGTTAGTGGTTTGTATAATCCCACAACTAGTGCCAGCCACCGTGTGTGAACAGAGGGCTGGCACACAGCTGTGCTTGACCTCCACTGGCTGGCATTCCAGGTATGGCCATGAAATACCCATGAGCACATCCTAGGAGGAAATGGCAGTGAGCACCAGCATTCCCAGAACTACATGTCCTTGTCTAATACCATTGTCAGGGACCCTGAAGGGACGAGTGTACTAGGTTTACCTTCCCTTTGAAAAGCCTCAGGCTCTGGGTTTTGTGACAAGCTGGGTGACATGGCTTGCTGAGGGGTCAGGTCTATATGGCCCTTTCCAGTGTACCCGTTGAATCACTCAACTTAAGTGGTTTCTGGAATTGGCTTAAGTCTGGAGTAAAATTGTTTATTCAAAATATAATCAAAGCTCACCAGAAACAGTGGTTATTTCAAACTGAGCAACCTAATTGCTTTATTAAAGTCAAATTCCAAAATGAAAGAGCCATCCACATAAAGGAGAGAAGAGTCTTGACAGCCCGCTGGCTTACATGAGGCTGTAGGAGGCAGGTGAGTGACAGTGTGAGAACAGGGCCTTTTCCTTCACTGCCCATCCCCCGAAGCACGCTTCCCCTTCCTCAAGTTTCCCAGCTTTCTGTCACTTTTAACAAGCACAAAGTCCGGTGTCTCCAGGTGACATGGGTATATACAATGAACTACAAGGAGTGCACTATTTTACATTGCCTTTTTTCCCCCCATACGTTCTGCAAGGTTTTCCTTTTCAGGGAGAATTTTCTTCCAACCTAGGGCTGACAGGTGCTCCTAAAAGGTATGGGTCAGGATAAAAGACCTGAGACTGCAGAACTGCCTCCCCACCGCATCTGGGAGCTGGAATGCTGGCCCTGCAGCCAGCCTCCTGGGCAGAGACCTGAGGGAGGCTACCCAGGGGTTGATGTGGATAGCAAGGAGTCGTGACTTACCTGCTAAGCCGACGCCTCCTTCCCACCACCTTGAAGTTGGAGATACCAGTTCAGAAAATTCTGGTCTTGTGTTTCTAGGGTAGTGGCCAGTTGCTTACTATGTCCTGTCAGAACCCCGTCCTCCACTGCAGTTCCCAACTCCGATGTATATAGTATATTAGGCCTAATTCCTTGTGCCATAAAGAAGCCATTTGGCATGTTTCCTATGCATGAAATGTAGCTGTGATATTTTCAACCTGTGATGATTGCAGGTGCCTGCTCAGCAGCCCTCTGTCAGAGGTGCTGGGCAACAGGGACAGTATGGTCCCTGCCGGGATCTTTCCTAAACTCCCTAGGTTCCCAACTTCTATTCCAGCTGTCTTCCCACTAATAGAAGGGTTTTTAATGGGATTTCTTAGAAAAGCTTGGGAAGTTTCAGTCCAAACACTGCCAGGATTTATTTTCATGGGAGCACAGAATTGAGCCCAAAAGGCATCATGTGATCAGCTTTGGAAACGCCTGCACCTCTGGCCAGGATGGTCACTGTCCCCCTCACAGGATCTTCACAGACCAGCAGCCAGCAGGACAGCCAGTGCATGGAGTGGCCCGTCAACCCCAGCTGGAACCATTTCAGAACAGTATCTTCTGGCAAAGCTTGCAGCAAATCAAGGTCATTCCTTTGACTTGCTATAGTGTCTGTCTTAACCTGAAATGTATATTAAAAGAAACATACAGGTCGGGGGCATTTCTAAGAAAATATTTTAAATGTCTCTAAATGCAAAGCAATGCCTCAAAGAACCATGAAGTCATAAAGCAAAGTCAACAGCCGCCACAAAGCCTACTTTGAGAGCCTTGAGGGGCTTTCTGTTGGATGAGGATCCATGGGAAAGCTGCTCACAGTCCCCACACTAACACATTCATATACTCATGGCTTTGCTGAATTAATTTTTCAATTATTCATATGACAATTTTGGAAGAGGGAAATTTACTATTTGCATCTAAGTGTCCTGACCTACAAAGTAAGGGGCTGAAGTCAAAAGAAGCTAAGAAAGGGCCAAGGGGTGCAGTCCAGCTGGTGAGAGTGCCTGCCCAGTGGCACAAAGCCCTAGGTTCCACCAACACCACATAACACCAGGCACAGTGGTGGAAGGCTGTAATCCCAGCACGTGGAGGTGGAGGCCGAAAGCTCATTAGATCAAGGTCATCCTCTGCTAACACAGGAAGTTTGAAACCAGCCTGGGCTACATAGACACTGTCTCAAAACCCAAACAAACCCTACTGGTAGCTAATGGTCTGTCTTAACCTGAAACGTATATTATTAAACGAATCAGGTACAGGTCCGGGGCACTTCTAAGAAAACAGTTTAAATGTCTCTGAAATGCAAGGCAGTGTCTCAACCATGAAATCATAAAGCCTTGGAAATAGAAACCCATAAACACAAAACTGTCAGCAGGCCATGGCTTCCTCCACTTCTGGGGATCCATTTGCTGCAGAACTCAGATCCCCACCCCAGCCACGGGCTGTCAAGTCACTTAGCTTGGTGTGGTGCAAGCAGAGGCCTGGAGGCCCATGTCGGCATCCCATCGATGAAGGCCTTGCGGGTACTGCCGCTCCTCACCTAGAGGGACAGGCATTTTGGATACTTCCAAGAAGGGTCACTGCAGATGCCCCAAAGGCTACTTCTGTTCAAGCTTAAGATCTGTACACTTGGTCTTGAGGCCCATGCAGGTGATGCACCCACCCCAGGGCTAGTGACTTCTGGGACGTATCCCATGGCACTTGTGTGATCGTGTCTCTTAGAGCCCTTAGTCCTTTTGGGTCCTATATTTATTTTTCAGGGTAGCTACATCCAGAGGTGAGAGTGAGCCTGAACAGAGAAACCGTGTGCTACCCAGATACTTGGATCTTGAAGCTGGACAGACAGCTAGCCTGAAAAATGGACAGGACTAAATCATCAAAACTCAATATATCCAGAGTTTGGGCCAAAACTTAAAACTTATGATGCTGCCAGGAAAAAAAGATATAGTTAGTAGAATAGGCCAACTACACAGTGGCTGGGATGTCTTTTAATGAAAATGTTTTGTTTGAGACAGAGTCTCACTATGTAGCCCTAGCTGTCCAGAACTCCTAGTAGACCAGGCTGGCCTTGAAGTCATAGAAATCCACTTGCTTCTGCCTTCCAAGTGCTGGGATTAAAGGCGTGCACCACCACACCTGGCTTATTTTATTTTTTTGCTTATGTTTTAAATAATTTTTTGGAGTGGAAATAAGCCTGGGCTGCCTTTGTGGAGGCAGCTGGGATTCCAGCAAGATCCCAGGAGGTAAGGTGGACACTGCCTGAAGAAACAGGGACACCCCTTCCAAAGAGCACAAAGCAAACAGCGCTTTCTTCTTAGTGTCCTAAAGATGGCCTCAGAAGCCAGACTATCAACTCCAGGATTCCAGGTGTGTGTGGGGGGGTGCTTCTGCCATTTGTCACTCTCAAACTTTGAGATGGGGTCTTGCTATGTAGGCTAGACTGGCTGAGAACTCTGTCCTCCCTCAGCCTCAGAATTGAGATTTGCAGACATGTCCTACCATGTCTGGCCCACCAATGTCAGCTATTTGAAAAAGTAAACATCAGACTTCTATCCCAGTTTTCAAGAGCTTCTGAACATGTTTGCAACTCGAAAGTGCCCTTTGGAGAAAGCTGAAGGTTGACCAAATGTCTGGCTGTGTACCCAGGGACAGCCGTGTGGTTCCAGCAGTAGGCTGGGGCTCAGAACAAGCTTGCCTCCTTCCACTGTTCCTCATGGTTCAGCCTCTCTGGGGTGCATTCCTCCTACAAAGGGATGGTAGTACTGAAGCATAGAAATGGGCCTGCGGATATCAGTTATTTCTGTGTGCCGCACAGAGTCAGGTTGCATGCTTTCCTAAGGCCTGGGAAGCACTTGTACTCATAGTTACCCCAGCTTCGAGAAGCCAGCCTTGCCCAAGCCCAGCCAAGAGAGCACAGAAAAGAGAAGCCATGGGATTGCTATGGGTCTAGGGCTGTCCCAGTCTTTCACAGAAGACACACCTGGCTCTGTTTCCCCAAGATAGCAAGTCCAGAGGGTGCAGAACCCAGAATGGCTGGGTCCTCAAGTGGCAGGATGCTATGACCTCCCTAGAAACAAACATGGGACCGGCATTCATACCCCTGCAGAAGAAATGGTTATCCTAGACTGCAGGGCCACACCCATAGACCTGAGGTACTCTGCAATCTAGGGCAGGCTGGGAGTCTGCTTCAATGGTTAGATTAGAACATGACCCCAGGCTCCAGCAGATCAGTGTCTAAACTCATCCACTACTTGTCCCTTTGGAAGGAGTTATTTCAGAGCAGGCAGGAGAGGTAAACTCCCTGGCCGCCTAACACCCACTCTAAGACCCAGCCTGAGCTATGCAGAATGACATGTGGTCTAGCCCAGACTCAGCCATGCACTTGAACCCTGGAGACTTCAGTGAGGTAGGTGGTATCAGCCCCATTTTACAGGTGGGCAAATTGAGGCAGAATGAGATGCAATAGCTCGCTTTTAATAACAACATACAAAATCTAGAGAAAGCCCCAAAGTAGTCCCCACTCCCAGAGACCAAGGAATGGAGTCGTGCTCCCGTGCCTGCTTTACAGCCCAGAGAAGTCAAGCTCTACATACACAGCTGAGTTCTCCGGAACCTGGGACACTAAACCCAGCGACCACAGGGCCCAGCTTCCAGTTTATTCCAGTTGGGTAGAGGAGGCCTGAGCTAGAGCACACTGCCAGGGGGGCCCTGGGCTGCTGACCTGTGACCATTTGCACTCACCAAGGACAATGTCTGCTCCTCTCTGCTTAGGAAGCCAGGCTGAGGACAAGACCAGCATGCTGACCAAGCACAGGGCAGAGAGGACAGCATCAGCCTGGCTCTGAGCTCCGGCCCCAGGGTGGTTCTACCTAACACCTTCCTGGGAGGATTGCAATCCCAGTCCCCAGCAGACATCCCTCAGCGCAAGTTCCCTCCCTCGTTGCTTCAGAACCAAAATCTGCGTCCCGGGGTCAGAGGTGTGTGTGTTGGTGGTGTTCTTTGGATGGAAGCGAAGGCCGTTCTGGGGGATCGGGTCTGTCTGCCCAGCTGGAGCTTGAGACCCATTCTGAGCTGGGCATGGGGCGAGGTATTCCCAGCCGACAAACAGCTTATGTCCCCTGACTCCCAGCTGGAACCCACTGCAGCAAGTAACTGTGGGGGAGCAAGTGGGGGCTGACTCGCGAGCTGAAGTTTGTCAGTACTGCATTACAAAATCTTCAACTGGCTTTGTGGAGGATGTGTGGACAGTGGCCTGGCACAGAGCCCCAGCAGGGGGACGGGAGTCGAGGTCGGGAGGTCTAAGAACATTCTGGAAACTGGCAGCCCCTCATGCCCTCTATGACCTCTTGGTGTCTCTGGCCCTCTGGGAGCAGAAGACTCTCCAGAGATGGGCTGAGGGGGCCGAGTGCAGGACAGGGTGAGAGCAGAGCCAGCAGAGGAGGACGAGGCACTTCAGTTTGGGCTGGTGTTCATGGAGTCGGCCCTGGCCCCAGGAGTCGAGTGGCCCTGCCTGGCTGTAGCTCCAGCGCTGGCTTGTCACAGAAGACCCCCGTGGTGGTAACAGGTAGGCACTTGGCAGCGTTCCCAGGGCCAGGCGGGGCCGGGGCTCCGTGCAGGCTCCACACACACTAGGTCATCAAGATGGGTTTCTGTCGTACTTCCAGGATGTCTAGGATGACAGGGGGGAGCAGGCAGGGTGAGGACTCTTGGGAGGGAGCCACAGCTGTCCTGTACACCCACCCTTTCTGATCAGACCTCACAGGCTACAGATACCAACACCACCCTGCACTCCCACGGAGATATCTCCGAGGCAGCACCCACCTACGACCACTCAAAGAGGGACCAGTGTGGACATCAGGGACACGTGGAGGGAAGCCACTGCTATGGGAACTACAGCCCGCTGAAGCTGGGCAGGGAAGCCCTGGAGGGCTCTGCCTTCACATACCTGTTAAGATCCGATGCAGTGGCAAGGTGACGTAGGTCAAGTGTGCATAGAGAAGGAAGTTGCCGTCAGCTCTGTTCAGCTTCAGCCAGGACCCAACCAGGGACCGTCCTGTGCCCGACAGGGATCGAGACCGCAGATTGGTGGCATTGTGCAGGTCAGCTGCAGGGGAGAAGGGCAGGTCAGTATCCCAGTCTGTGCCAGGGAGCGTGGGGGAGGGGTCGCGAGACCTTTGCCCCACTGGACTGATACCACACTCACAGAGGCTCCCCACCAATGTCCACACCTCCGTCTGCCAGGCCTGGAAAGCACTCACGGTTCACCCTGGTAAAATCTTTTCCAGCCACTCACTACAACATGGAACTGACGTGGTACCAGCTCAAGAGGGATGCTGGGCATTTCCCCCACCCCTGTTACCTGAACCCCATTTTCCCCAGAACTGATGGAGTGGCCAGTTTACCCACCAAACCCCAGCATTCCTGAAGAGTCCTGTTCCAGGCTGCACAAGTCTGGCAGTGACTGACCACTGGGGAGGGGGTTGTGCACACAGAGCAGATGAGTGGATGGACCAAGGGTTCCAGGGACCTCTGGGCAGAAGGTCATTGGTGGGGCCACAGGGAAGGATCTGTGAGTCAGCGTGACTCACGGGAAACCACGAGAGAGAGGTAACAGAGGAACCCTGAGGGTCACCCAGGACAGAAGGTTCTAGAAGGAGGAGAGTTATCCCAGGAAACAGAAGAGGAAGAGCAAGACAGTCCTTGTGTGCACCCAGTTCAGCGGAAAGTTCCAGAGCCTCTGAATATGAGCTGGGTGAAAACAGGGCTCAGATGCAGACCCCCTAATCTATGCATAGCTTCACCACAGCCCTGGGGCCAGCACTCTACGGCTCTCTAAGCGACACTGGGTGAGGGGTGGGGGCACGGGTGACGGCATGGATGAGTGGACACAGCCAGAGCAGGGACCATTAGCCACCTCCACTGTCGTCCTCTCTGAAAAACTCCTCGCTGTCGTTGGCCGAGTGGGACTTCTTCATCTCCGCGATGCGGTTCCGGGGCACCTTCCTCTTGAGGGACGGAGAGAAGAAGGTGGGCCGGTTGTTTCGCTCCGGGGTGGGCGGGGTGCTAAAGGAGGTCACCTGGAAACAAGGAGCCCAAGTCACAAGTGTAGCAGGAGCAGACGCTGCCATGAGACCCCAAAGCCACCTTGACCAAAGCCAGCCCAAGCAGGGGCTGTAGTTATAGCTGCTGACCCTGACCCTGGCCTGACGGCCATCTGGCCTAGATGAGGGGGACGCTGGGCACTGGGGGCTCGTCACACACACACAGCAGCCAGACCTGCCTAAGGAGGGAGCAGACTGCCACCAACACTGACAAAGGGGCATCGCTTCCACATCTCAACACAAATGCCAGGGGATGGGCTGCGGGCTGTACCATGCTGCAGGGCAGCTCATGATGCCCGTCTCACATACGAGCAGGTAAGGCCCACAAATGGCCACCTTGACCTGCCTAAAGCCACTGGGACTACACCCAGGTCACCCCTTGGGGCCTTCCCTCTTGCACGCAGCCCCTCTCACAAGTGCCAGACCGAGCAGCTCTCTGTCCGGTGTCTCCTCGCCTCCCTTCCAAGCACATTCAGCCCCAGCCACCAACATTCTCCACACTCACTCAGGGGTGAGGTGGGCACAGACAGGCACAAGACACAGATCCCCTGCCCTCAAGGAGCTCACAGTCTGCTGGGGGTGACAGACTCAAGTGACATCCACAGACTGCATGCTGGTCACTGAGACAGAAAGGGAAGCACAGGACATGGAAGGAACAGTGGAAGAAGGGACAGACAGCCTGTGAGATCAGAGTAGGCTTCCTGGAGGAGGTGCTGCGTGAGCTGGGTCTTGAAGGACGAGTAGGAGTTCGCCAGGTGAAGAAGGGGGGGAAGGGCGTTCCAGGCATAGGGAACTTGGCCCATCCCCTCCCTCCTCCCCATGCAAACAAGAATCAGAGCAGCAAGATGAGCTGGGACCCAGACTTCGGGGCCCCATAGGCCTCCCCGTCATAGCTCCGACATCCACCAAAGTCCCGGCGGCTGCTGGGCTCCAGACGGTCCTCCCTCAAGTCAGGGAAGGTTTTAAAAGATAAAAACAAAACAAATACCAGAAACCACAATACACACAATCTGCATTTCTTGTACACTGGTTACAAGTGACCCCTGAGGACAAGAAGACAAGCAACAGTGTGTACATGGGCAGTGGACTTGAGTCCTGTGGCGACCTCACGACTCCTCCCCAGGGGTCCACACCTCCCTGCTATGAAGGGCATGGTTAGGGGCCATCTCATCCCTCATGGCCACTCCCACTTGGTAGTTGGGATGATCAAGGCTTGGGTGAGTCATCTGTGGGCACCCAGAGTTGCCCAGCTGGGCCCACATCTGCACACCTGCGTGCACACACCTTTCAGCGTCCAAGTGCAACACAGAACTGTGCAGAATCAGAGTCCAAGCTACCTCCATTCCAAAAGATGAGAGGTCTCCTGCCTGAGGCTCAACACTTCACAAAGTCCCAGCATTTTTAGTTTTGTTTGGCTTAGAAAACACACTAATTATAGAAGAGTCCAAAAGAAAAAAATAAGAAGCACCCAGGAACTAATGCAAACAGCAGCCGGTCAGGCACTGTGTGCTCTTGAGAGTCACCTCCCATCAACTGCAGATAGTAACCACTGTGGATGCCACTTGGACCATCACAGGGCCAAGCACCATGTAAGGCATGAGTAATGCCCCTGGAAACCCCAGGCTCAAGAAGCAGGTTCACACCTCACTGCCCAGTGAGAAACAGAGGCATAGGGAAGGAAGGGACTCATCCAAGGTCACATGAGCAGCAGAGCCCAGCACAGAGCCAGCTGGGTCTCTTGGACAAGGGCTGACTCATTCACCCAATGCTCTGAGTGACATCCAAGCACTGATTCCATGGGCAGAGCCTTTCTCGTGCCTGAGCCTGGGAGCTCTATGGCCACTGACATCAGCTCCCCACTTCAAAGGAAGCAAGGTTTGCGGCCCTATGCTGAGCCCTCTGAGCTGCGGCAGGGGCAGCAGCCCAGACAGCATCCTTATGCCTGTCGGGGGATACTGCTAACAGACAGAATACCCTAAGCAAACGACCAGGCCCAGAGTGAACCTTGTGCTTCTGGTTGTCCTTGTGGGACAACCCAGGATTCAGCCCCTCCTCATCCCACTGGCTCACTGCAGAAGGGCTGTGTGGTCATAGCTGACCAGCAGGTCCAGAAGGCAGGCACCAGACCTAGTCCCTAGTCAGTTTTTTTCTCTTCCTGGACCTGGGGACTCAGCCTCGGGCGGAGCAGCTCAGGGAGGCAGAATCAACCTCAGCCTGGGTATAAACCTGCTGGGTGACCTCAAGCAAGGCACCTCCCCTCTTGGAGCCTCAGGTTCCTCATCAGCAGTGTAAGGAGGGGGCTCCCTCACCTGGGAGCTGTGGGATGAGGGAGCCATGGGTCAGGAGGTCCCTCCCCCAGCATGTAGCCCTTACCCGCTCATGCATGGGCGAAGCTGGGCTTGAGTCTTCTTCAGTCCCACAGGGGGATGTGTCGCCCGTAGACACACGACTGACTGCCATCTCAGCATGGCCCTTGCCCTGAGGCCCCTTCATGCGCACAAACTCCATGTTGTTGTACTTGTAGAAGCCAAATGACATCTTCTGGGCCATGCGGGCCGCCACACTCACCTGTGGTAGGTGGGACCAGTTAGTTTCACAGACCCTCCCTCTTGAGACACAGGAGCCAGTATTACCTTCTCTGAGGCCATCTTGAGGGAGTCTGAGCCACAGGGAAGCCAGGAAGCCCAACAAACAGGCATGTGTTCCAGATCCCTGGCCAAGGCTGTTCTCACTGCCCTGAATGCTCACACTACTGACCAGGGCATTAACCCCAGGCCAGACAGCACCAGCTAGCTGCAGGAGAGTGGCCTGTTCATCTGGACTCCTGTCCCTGCTGAACTACTCAGGGGTCAATTCTGGGAATGTCCCCAGTACTAGGGTGAATATCCCTTACCAACAGTAAGGGAGAGCCAGCCACTGGCTGACACCTCACAGGGACATGGGTAGGAGGATAATGTCCCCACTTGCACCTCAGACACAGGTGGACCAACATGAAGCCCATGACAGAAGGGAGAGACTGTGGACCCCAGAGGAGCAGATGCCCGGCTGTGGGGTGGTCTCAGCAATGCAGGTGGTGGTGGGGCATGTGAGGAGAGAAGGGTCAGGACACCACCACCCCCAGGCAGCCCTGCACTCACGCGGTTGTCATACACCTTCTTCAGCGCCTCGTAGCGGATGGACCCCTGAAAGATGACACCCTGGAACGTGTTGGTCTTGTCGCTAGCCACCAGCTCAACACAGACCATCTCTCCTTCCCCCACGGTCATGTCGCTGAACACCTGAGGGCGGGGAGGAAGGGATGGGAGTACCAAACAAACACCACCCACACCATCTCCCAACCCGGCTGCCAGGAGGATTGCTGAAATCACTGAGTCCACCGTCCCCCTCCAATCCTACCTGTACACAGCCACCCGCTGTCCACCGTCCCCACTCCAATCCTTGCCACAGGTAGGAACACACTCCACCCCAAGCTGAGCCACCAGTAAGACCCTTATCTGACTTCCTAATGCTGAGTTAAACTTACAAGGACTCTGGGGACACTTGGGGAACCTCCTTCGTCACAGCCTGGTCCAGCCCACCTTACCCTGAGCTTGGCTGTCCAAGCCTTCCTGGGGGAACACCACCAGAACACAGGCAGTGTGACCACACCCTGTCACATTCCTAATATCTGACGGTTGGGTGTGGGCTTCAAAGCGAGAGACTCTGGGCAAACACGCGTGGTGTGTGAGCCCAGGGAGGCCCCATCACCTTCCTGAGCTTTGTGTATTTTCAGATACCATCAGAGCCCATGGGGACTTTGAAAGGCATGGGACTTCCAAGAAGATCATAGCT